AAAAAAAAAAAAAAAAAAGAGAAGAAAAGAAAAAATAAACTTCTAGAGTCGGCAAACTTTTTTTTTTTTGAGACGGAGTCTTGCTCTGTCACCCCCCAAGTTGGAGTGCAGTGGTGCGATCTCGGCTCACTACAACATCTGCCTCCCTAGTTCAAGGGATTCTCCTGCCTCAGTCTCCCAAGTAGCTGGGATTACAGTGTGTGCCACCACGCCCAGCTAATTTTTTTATTGTTAGTACAGATGGGGTTTCACTATGTTCGTTGGGATGGTCTCAAAATCCTGACCTCGTGATCTGCCCACCTCAACCTCCCAAAGTCCTGGGATTACAGGCGTGAGCCACCGCGCCCAGCCTGTTTGTTTGTTTTGAGACAGGGTCTCACTCTGTGAGTGAGACTGGAGTGCAGTGGAATGATCTTGGCTCACTGTAACTTCTGTCTCCTAGGCTCCAGTGATCCTCCCACCCCAGCCTCCTGAGTAGCTGAGATTATGGGTGCACACAACCACACCCAGCTAATTTTTCTATTTTTTGTAGAGACAAGATTTCACCATGTTGACCAGGATGGTCTCGAACTCCTGAGTTCAAGGGAATCCACTAGCCTCGGCCTCCCAAAGTGCTGGGATTACAGGCATGAGTCACCCCACTCGGCCAAAATGCAGTCTTGTTATGTAAGATACTATCACTGGGGGAAGCTGGGTAAATTTTACAACTTCTTGTGAGTCTAAAATTATTTCAAAATAAAAGAACACTATCTAGGCAATACCACTCAGGACATAGGCAGGGGCAAAGATTTAATGATGAGATCACCAAAAGCAATCACAACAAAAGCAAAAATTGACAAATGTGATCTAATTAAACTAAAGAGCTTCTGCACAGCAAAAGAAACTAACATCGGAACAAACCGCCAACCTACAGAACAGGAGAAAATTTTTATGATCTGACAAAGTGTCTAATATCCAGAATCTACAATAAACTCAAACAAATTTAGAAGAAAAAAAAAACAATCCCATTAAAAAGTGGGCAAAGGACATGAACAGACACTTCTCAAAAGAAGACATGCAGCCCACAAACATGAAAAAAAGCACAACATCACTGAACATCAGAGAAATGTAAATCAAAACCATAATGAGATACTATCTCATGCCAGTCAGAATGCTGATTATTAAAAAGTCAAGAAATAACAGGCCAGGCCTGGTGGCTCATGCCTGTAATCGTAGCACTTTGGGAGGCCAAGGTGGGTGAATCACTTGAGGTCAGGAGTTTGAAACTGCCCTAGCCAACATGGTGAAACCCCATTTCTACTAAACACACACACATACACACACACACACTATATATATATATTTATTTATTTATTTTTCTGAGACAGAGTCTTGCTCTGTCGCCCAAGCTAGAGTGCAGTGGCGCGATCTTGGCTCACCGCAAGCTCTGCCTCCCAGGTTCATGCCATTCTCCTGCCTCAGCCTCCTGAGTAGCTGGGACTACAGGTGCCCGTCACCACGCCCGTCGAGTTTTTTTTGTATTTTTAGTAGAGATGGGGTTTCACCGTGTTAGCCAGGATCGTCTCGATCTCCTGACCTCGTGATCCACCCGCCTTGGCCTCCCAAAGTGCTGGGATTACAGGCGTGAGCCACCGTGCCCAGACAATTTTTTGTATTTTTAGTAGAGATGGGATTTCACCATGTTGGCCAGGCTGGTCTTGAATTCCTGACCTTGTGATCCACTTGCCTCAGCCTCCCATAGTGCTAGGATTACAGGCGTGAGCCACCCCGCCTGGCCTAATTTTTTTGTATATTTAGTAGAGACGGGGTTTTGCTATGCTGGCCAGGCTGGTCTCGAACTCCTGGCCTCATGTGATCCACCTGCCTCGGCCTCCCAAAATGCTGGGATTACAGGCATGAGCTACCATGTTCTGCCTATATCCCACAAATTTTGGATCTAATATTTTCATTATGGCTTATTTCTTTTTGTGCTCTTTTGCCCATGCTGGAGTGCAGTGGCATGATCTTGGCTCATCACAACCTCCACCTCTCAGGCTCAAGTGATTCTCCCACCCCAGCCCTGAGTAGCCGGGACAACTGGGTGTGAGCCACCACACCCGGCTAATTTTTGTATTTTTATGCCCGGCTAATTTTTGTATTTGTATCAGAGACAGGGTTTCCCCTGTGGCCCACGCTGGTCTTGAACTCCCGGACTCAAGGAATCTGTCTGCCTCAGCCTCCTAAAGTGTTGGGATTACTGGC